CCCCCCCCCTCCGTGAGTCAGCCCCATCCCAAGACGGGCACCAGACAGTCATCGTCCATGCTCAGTGCAGAAGTGCTTAGGCAAGCCTCTTCAACAAAGACGACTGGACTTAGTCTGCAGTCCCCTAGCCGTAGTGTGTGCCCAGTGACCGCAAGCCTGACTGGCAGACTGCTACATATGGGATAAGGGACCGCTTGAGCAGTCCCTTCTGGAAGGAATGCTGAGGTCAGCCTGGAAGCCCAGCCCTGGGGGTTTGGGCACGACCCCTGCCCTCTGACCACAACAGTGTCCGTGTCTACCCACCATACTCTGTTGCCTTCATGCTGTGAGCTTTCTTCTTCTCCTGTCTGCCTATGAGGCCGCATCCCCCCGGATGGTGCGTATTGGGGTGGGGGTGACATTGTAGGGAGAGGGCCCGTGTGGCACTTAGGAGCAGAGTGATGAGCCTCGGGTCGGTGGTTTGTAAGCATGTTCCAACCACACCTGTCACTCCCACTAGCACAGAGCAACCCAAGCACAGAGCAAAGGAGAGGTTTGGATCTCCTCTGTCTCCACACAGCCTGACCCCAGAAAACAGACAGCACCCTACCCTTAGTAGAAAGCCCCTGGTCCTTCTGTTGCTGATTAAACAACAGCAGCACCAGAGGAAACCTCCCTTTCACTCCACTGGACAGCCCCCTCCCCTGAACACCCCATGCATGGGGTCTGTTTGTGTGCCCCTGCTGGTCACGAGTTACCTGACAAAGTCCCTCACATACTACGGGGCCGGACCACTGCCTCTCCAAAGCCAGCATGATGCGCTTCCCGCCCAGCTCTTTCCAGCTGAGGAGTCCTGACCTTGCAGGCCGCAGGGGAGGCCGCAGGCAATGAGGGGCTAAGGAGGCTGCTGGGGGGAGAGGGGGAGGGGAGGACCTGCATACGGGCACAGAGTAACTGTCAAAGCCCAACAACCCTCGGGCCTGCTCTGGGGCCTGGAGGTAGACTACGGGACCCAGGATGGCAGAAGCCTACCCTTTTAGAAGCAGGAGGGACCCCAAAGCGTGGCCTCTCCCACAGCTTTGCCTGACAAGGGCCTGGTCTGAGTGCCCATGAAGAAGAGGGAAACCGAGGCTCAGAGACGGGCTGTGCTTGGCCTGAGGAGGCAGGTCTCTCCCGCCCTCTGCATTCCTGGAGCTGGCCCCTTCTTGTCTAGGGCTTGCCATAACTCTGCCCCACCCCCACCGGGTGGCCTGTCAGGGCCAGGGGCGTGCTCTATGATGGGCGCAGTGCCCGACATTGGACTTGCATTCTTCTGATGAAACCTGGCAGCAGCCTAGGCGGCGGCCACCAACACAATTGTGTTGTGGAAGAGAAACCTGGTCCTCGGGCAAGTGACTGCTCCGGCATCACTGGGCACAGCATGGCAGCCTTCCAGGCCAGGCTGTGGCCAGCCAGCCGACCCTGGGGTCTTCTGCTTAACCATCCCTGCCCGCCCCCCCCATCGGGCCCTGTCATGGGTGCCCCGATACTCCTGTTCTTCTCTTCTAATTGCAAGATGCACCAAGAATATGCTATTGCTCTCTCCTCCCCTGCACCCCCATATTTAAAAAGAAAAAGCATCCCCCTTCTCCCCCTCCCTTTGTCTTCCACAGCTATGCCCTAGGCACCAGGAAGCACCCTCATGCCCAACTCCTCACCCTGACACTCTCGTCTGCAGGAAATACCAACAGTAAAGCACAACACCCGAAGGCTCAGAAATACAGGCTTTGCCTAGTCAGGCTATAAATTGAGGACCAGAGAAGAGGTTTAATTATGCCCCAGCAAGACCTGCTCCCGTCTCTAAGCAACATGGCTCAGATTCCTCCCACCACCGCCTCCCACTCCCCCGAGTTAAGGGTGTTTATAACTCACCTTCCTGCCAGGCTAGTGTCTGTAGGACACCCCAGGCATACTAATGGGTGCTCCCAGGCAGCTGCCCTGAGGGCCAGGAGGCAGGAGAGAAGGCCCAGGCAGAGGCTGGAGGGCTAGGCTGGGCTGGACTGGAAGAGGGAGGCGGTGGCTGAAGGACCCTGTCTCATGCCTGCCTCTGTGTGTGCACCCGCCTCGGTCTCTGTGGCATGAAGACCCTCCCGCTGCATGTGGAGCTGTGCCAGCACAGGGATGCCAGCCCCCGGCCCCCACCCCTGGGAGGGGCTCAACTCCCTTTCCAGCGCTTCTGGGAGCCAACTAAGCCACGTCTCCCTGCTGTTTTCAGCCTTGGCAAGCTTGGTTGTGAAGCTCAATGGTTTTGTTCCAAGAATCTGGCTCTGAGGCAGTGGGCCCCAAACCCAAACAGGAACATGGCCCAGTCAACCGACTGTCCGGCCGAGCCTGGCCGAGCCAACCCTGAAAACTGGGCCCTGGACGGGGCCTTCCTCCCTCGGCTCCAGCCTCGGGCAGGCTCCTCAGTTCCCTCAGCCCCAGAATCTCACCTTGGACATCTTTTCAACTCCCTAGGGAACTCCGGGACCAATTGGAGTTCCAGGCCCTGCAGGACCAAAGGGCGAGAGGGTGAGTGCTCGCTGCATCACAAGCGGGGTGAGCAGTTTGGGGGAGAGGGCAGCCCTCAGGAGCCTGGGAGAGCAGTAGGCGGTGGGGGGCAGTCCTGTAGTCATGGCACCTGGGACCCCACCCTGTTTCTATGTTAACCTCAAGAACCACAGCTGGCAGCCCTTTCTTTGTGCCAGGGGAGCCAGCCCAAGGGAGGGTCCCTCAAGCAGGCCCCAAAGCAGCTCCATTGCGTAGCTCTCAGTAGACAGAGCTGTGGAGAGGGGGCGGGAAGGGGGAGGGGATGGAAGCTCTCTGCACCTGGACTTCTGGTCACCTGGCCTCAGTCCCAGGCTTCGGTCTGACAGGGATGCACTATTGGCACTGGGACACAGTGTGTCTGGGTGATGTCTGGAAAAGTCTGAGGGGCATCAAGAAGTCACAGGCAGGGCCCGAGTCTGGGGTGCCATCCTTGCTGGTCGCAGGACCTGGACTACCGGCCACATGATCCTCAGAGCGGCAACCTGTTTGGGGAGCAGGTGGGTGGAACGTGGGGGCTCAGTGGAGGCAGAGGAACTGCACATGGCTTCTGCTCGTCGCTTCCTTCAGGCTCTCGAATGTTCAAGGCGCTGGGTGGCGGAAACCCCTTGAAAGCAATGGTCCTCTAAGGACCTGCTGAGCTATCTGCAGGGAGCAGCTGGCCCCTCACTCATTTGTCCCCTGTCCTGGCAGCCTCTGGGGGGTAGGTGGGCGTGGAAGGCTTCTGAAGGGGGGAAGGGGTTCTGACAGTTAATTGGGAAAACCAGGGACTGGGGTCTCAGAAAGTGACGTTTGAGGGCGGCTTCAAAGAGTTATCTTTCTCTTGTCTTTGCCGGCCTCCACCTGTTCCCCAACGACACTGCTCAGCCCTCATGCTGGGCCTGGGGCAGAGGTTCTGGGCCACAGACATTTGCAAGACCACTTTGTGGGGCCGAGTCCCACCCTCTCCACCAGCCTCCCCACCCCCTTGACAAGAGCTTCAGGGAGCTGGAAAGTTTGTTGGGTTGGAACACAGGCACTGGCTGATGGGAGATTTTCTCATGTCAGGAGGGCTCATGGGTTTCCTTCTCCTGTTTCAGGGCAGCAAAGGTGACCCTGGCATGACAGGACCAACAGGAGCAGCTGGGCTTCCTGTAAGTCTCCTGGGACCCGGGTTTCTTTTGGTCCCCTCCCTGAACCGAAGCATTGTCAAACAGAAATTTCAGAGCTCAGGCCCACCTAGCGGGGGCCAAGTGGGGATTCTCATTTCCGTTGGCCTGGAGCTGCCCACCATCCAATGGTCCATGTAGTGGAACGTCTCTGCTAGGCCCTCCCACAAGCAAAGCCCCAGGACGCTTGTCCTCCGTCATGGCGCATGTGCCACGGCGTGGGCCTGTTCCTCCGAGGGCCTCTGTGCTAGCCACAGGAAGTGCTGACAGAGAAACCTGCCATCGCCCCTGCCCTCGAGGAAGCTTGGGGCTCTACCCAACTCCCTATAATACAAGAAGGTCCTTTGTGAGAGAGCGCCGCTCCCAAGGGAGCTAGACCCCAAGGAGTGGCCGGGCCTGACCATTGGCAACGGGCTCTCCCATTGCTCTGCCCTCTCAGTTCACAGTCTGCCCAAAAGAGCCGGGGCTGTTTGTCCCACTTGAAGGCTTGGCCTACTCCGTTGTAGGTGGCCCTGGCAGCTTTCTTGGAGCTGCGGAGATAATTCCAGGCAAATTTGGGCCTAGTGTTCATTCATCCCCCAGCTGAAGAAAACGGGTGGTGTTTTGCCCCTTGACGTGAGGGTCTGAGAAGCTTTGGATCTCTTTCCCAACAAGAACCTGGCAGAATGACAATGTGGACCGTCTTCTGCCAGGACACTTCTCTGCTCCCGCCGTGCCCTCTGAGCCCACCGCTCAGCGTAATTGATGACGAGAGAACGGGAGCACAGGCCGGGGCCTTGGCCATGGACGAGCACTAGAGCTCTGTCCCTGGTTTTGTCCATCGTTCGTCTCAAGATGAGGTCACTTGAGCGATTGTATCCTTTGTCCCCCCTCTTCTAAAACAGGGGGCCATCAAGCCCACCCACCCCACCCCTGTGAATCCAGCCTCAAGGAATTGCTTTATGAGCCGTGGAGGGCAGGGCTGTGTGAGCATCCTGTTCTCATTTCTCTGCTTGATTCCAGGGTTTACACGGACCACCTGGGGACAAAGGGAACCGGGTGAGGCGGAGCCCTCGCACCTTGGCTCTGGTCACTAATGGGTTCAGGAAGTGGTGGAATGATCAATTGGAGACTCCTGGCCCAACCTGGCAAATACTGCTTTTCCTGAGAAATCATCCTAAATCAAAAGCTTTCTAGTGCAAAGCTTCTGGTGTGGCAGGCAGGAGCCTGGAGCCTAACCCGGCTGTGAACGCATGTCGTTTTCCACTTGACAACAGGAGACGGCACCCCTGGGGAGGCCCTTGTGTTCACCCTAATCCTCCAGGAGCTTGATGGCTCCCACCTGAGCCTTTAGATTAATGGTTCTCAACCATTCTCATGCCATGACCCTTTCATACAGTTCCTCATGTTGTGGTGCCCCCCCACCCAACCATAACATTATTTTCATTGCTACTTCGTAACTGTCATTTTGCTACTGTTATGAATTGGACGACCCCTGTGAAAGGTTCGTTTGACCCCAAAAGGGATCGCAACCCACAGGTTGAGAACCACTGCTTTAGAACCACCAGTAGCTAGCCCTAGCCTCCTTAAACTTAGCGTTACTGCGTTCCGGGCCAGTGGAAATCGATTCCACAGCTTTTGTAGGAGGCCAATCCTTTACTGAGAAATATGACGGCCAGTATTTCTCCCAGAAAGAATGAGAGGACTATGAATCCAAGGATGCCTATCTTTGGCTCCTGCCGTCTTCTCCAGGACACATCCATTGGATGGCCTAGACTCAGCCCCCTGGCAGGACATGACACATGCCTTGGATGGATGCTGGGGCCCAGCAGGGACCAGTTAACAATATCTGGCCAAGAGATGACTTGGACTCCTTTCCAAAGCTTCTCTCTCATCTGCTGAGATGCATCACGGTGGTTCTCAGAGTCGGGTCCCTGCTCCCTAGAAGCCCACAAGAGTGTCCTAGGGGCTCATCCAATTCAAAGACTGATGTGAGAGAATGTCAAGGATAGACAGAGCAATGAAGGCCAGAGTGAGGAGAAAACATATCGAGGCTCCGCAGAGCATTGGAAGCAGAACAAGCAGCTCCGACGACCCAGGGCTTCAGGCCGATCTTCAAACACCCGCACGGTGTTCACGAACAGAAGCACCAGAATCTAGGTGTCGGTGTCCAGCACCAGACCCACTCCCTTCGACGTACGACACCTGTATCGAGCACTTTGACTTTCCCGATTCTCCTCAGGACCCCAAATCCGAAGCACCCCACATATCCTCTAAAGTAGGAGGGCGCAAGGAGCGCTCCCCCTGCCAGAGTGCGCCAGCAGAAGGTCAGGTTTCGAAACCACTGGAGGGAACAGATCTGCTCCCAGAAATGTGGCCAGGCCCCTGAAAGCAGGCTGGAAAGCCCGCCTTCTTCAGGGAAGAATTGAGGCCCCCACCAATTGATCGTTCCACCTCTTTGTCCGCTTATTAACCTCCTTCCGAACTCACTTCTCACGAGTCCTGCTTTTCCTGATTGGACTACTTTAACGTTTTAAAGCTCTCTCGGGACTTTTGTAGCTGGCTTGCAGCACAAGCCATTCGAAGGCTGTGTTGCCAGTCCTTCGAGGGGGGTCCTGGCATTGTTCTGAAGCAAGAGACCGTGAAGGTCAAGGCACAGGTGGAGGGGGAGATGGGAGTGGGGGGGGTGGAGGCCCTTATTCCTAAGGAACCAAGTGTGTTGGCTGTGCCTGTGAGGCCCCTGGATCCGTGAGAAGCTCGCTCTCCTCCACGCCCCCTTTCTAATGTTCACTACGCGGGATTCCCCCCTCCCGTTATAAGAATGAAGCGTGTAGCCGCGAAGACAGCAAGGTCGCGTGAGAAAAAAGACGTGTTGACATGTTCCACAGAGCAGCCTCTTCCTTCAAAGGGCTTGACTCTCAGGATGCCAGAAGGTTCCGGAAGGGGCTTCGCTAAATAGCACCACCTTGTTCGGACTGGTTTATTCTGCCAGTCTGCAAAGAAGTCTGGGAGGGAAAAGTGAGGACTTGGCATGAAGGCTTCCAAAACAGAAAGACCGAGCCCAAGCTGAGCCGGGGCCTCTTCTGATGCCAGCAGGGCGGCATGCTGACCCTTTGATCAAGGTGAAATGCCAGAAATCGCTTAGACAACATTCCGATTGGAAGCTTTGTTGTTCCCTATACAGGTGAAGTTAGAGCTAGCCAAATCCCCCTCTATTGCCATTCAGCTTTTAGAGGGCAGCCTCTACAGGGAAGCTCCCAGACTCTTCTACAAAGCCTGAGCTGTGACCCTCATCAGAGAGGTTCCCAGGGAGTCCCCCGGGACGTGGCCAGGCCCCTGAAACTCCTCTATCGGCTCGAACATCACAGTTACATTCCATAAGATCCTCAGGCTGGGTATGAACAAGGCCATGCCTATGGGCACTGACATGGTAGTCCATTCTGACACAAACGATCTCCTTAGGAATTAGAAGGAAAACATACTCTTATTTTATTTTGTAACTGATAGCTTAAATTATGCCCCTCGGGGAGGACCAGAGATCAGAGAACTGCCTGGAACACATGCCCAGTGGCTTCTATAAACCATGGCCTCCTTCACCAAGAGAGCAGACCTGGACGGGCCACTGCCCGTACTGAAGGGTCTGATCAAAGGGGGAGGGGAAATGTGGGACCGGAGTTCAATTCTCATGGGATCCAGACTTTTTGAAGCCACTGCGGCCGAATGATCCCTGAGGAAATCTTTAGCCCTTCACATTGAACTGAAACGATGCCCTGAACTCATTTTTTGAAAAAATAATTATGTTTCTCTAATGAGTTTCTGGTTATGGTGCTGGGAGATTGTGCCATGATTAATGGGAACGGTGATACAATATGATCGGTGTAATTGCCATCGCCGGACTAGACACATACAAACATTGAAATGACAAATATATATATCTTTGTTACTATTTACAACTATAAAGTATACTTCTGTGAGTCCGCAGCGGCTGGTTGTCAAGCAGTGGATGGTCCTCGTAGAGGCAAGACTCCGAGCCGGAAACAGGGAGAGTTCTAGAAAGAAGAATGCGCTGCCATTGTCCCCAAGAAGCTTTCCGTGAATTTGGCCCAGGTGCCCCTTTCAGGATGAGAACAGTCGCGATAAAGGGTGGTGTGAATCTAGCAATTTGATCACCAGGATAATTGGGTGAACCACGATGAATGATGTCACCTGCAAGCCAGCTAAAAAGGTCTGAGTGCCACTCAGAGCGAGGCGGTCACTTCCCTCTGAGATGCCGTATGCGTGTGCGTGTGCGTGTGCGTGTGCGTGTGTGTGTGTGTGTGTCTGTCTGTCTGTCTGTCTGTCTGGCTTGCTTGCTTCCCTAGCTTCAACTTGCCTCCTTACCTCTCCCTCAAGTACCTTTTTTGGCCCGGGCCTACCTCTTCCTCCTGTACCCTAATATTTATCACCAAGATCATGCTGACTCGTCAAAAGCCCACAACCCCATGCCTCTTATCCTTTTTCTTACCCTCCCCCAGCTTCAATTTATCTCCTCGAGAATCTATTTGTACATGCTTATTTACTTCTGGAAGAAACCTCTTGGGCTTGACTTTCTCTGCCTCTCCCCTGACCCCTGTCACAGCCTCTTCTCTGTCATTCTCTGGGGAGCGAGGGATGTCAGTACAGGGACCGCTCTAAGCTCTGTAAAGGACACCTGCTTAGACTGACTTCCCATGGCCCTAGAACATGGTGCCGCATGGGGTAAGTTGCCCATCGTGCAAATCTGAAGCACAGCCAAGCATCCAGGGAGCCTGGGCTGCCCCACCTTCAGCACCTCCGCCCACCATAACGTAATTAGTGCTCATTCTCACGGACAGACAAGAAGGTTGGCCAGGGCTCCCCATGGAAACAGCGAGTGTCTGTACTTGTCCTTTGTGTGGAGGGGACTGGTGCCACACTCTTCAACAACAGGCATAGCTCAGAGTCAGGAAACCCACCCCCCTAAGTACGTAGACACGCGTTCTTCTCAAATCCTTCGAAGGAAGGATTTGAATTTTATAAACTCATTCAGAACAATGCTTGGAACCCTGGAACAGAGTGCGGGTCACTCCCAACGACCCAAGGACCCTCCAGAGTACTCGTTTCCTCAGCCTCCCTCTGACTTCCAGCCCCAGCCTCCCGCCTTGGCAATACTGCAGATGAAGCAAGCCCCGAGTCTGACCCCAAGCCTCCATGCTGGTGCCGGCCAGCCAGCCATAACAGCCGTTATTGGGCTCCCTGTGGGCAGCTGTCATTTATTTGTCGCTATTCAGCATGTAACGTGCACAAAGACCTTGCCCCCAAAAAGGCCTTTGAGAGAGGGATTACTATCCTCATTTTACAAGTGAAGAAACTGAATCAGCTCAGAGACGAGATCACTTCATCTGACCACGATGCCTCCCAGCCTTCATGGCTTTGTGCCGCGGAAGTTCCCAAGTCCTCAATAAGAGCTGTCTGTAGAAAATGGGCAGACCTGGTGGTGTAGTGGATATGTGTTGGGCTGTCATCCTCAGGGTCCACGGTTCAAAACCACCAGCTGCTCCTCGGGAGAAAGATGGGGCTTTCTACTCCTGTAAGGAGTTACAGTCTTGGAAATCCTCAGGGGCCGTTCTCCCCTGTCCTATAGGGTCGCTATGAGTCGCATTGACTCGATGGCCGTGAGTTTAGTTGGGGCTTTTGAGTGGCGTTCCAGGGTGAACTCAGCCCCTCGTTCATGACGTCACACAGACAAACATTCAAGCTCACACCGAGGCAAGACTTCACCTTTAAAAATAACTCCTCCCAGTAGCCAGGCACATACACTTTGGGATTTGATTTAGAAAGATGAGGCTGACCAAAGCCTTCCAGAAACAAATGAATGGCTGGAACTGACATGTCCACACTCAAATGGCCACCCATGGCTTCTGATCAGGATAGGATGGAAGGACCAGGCTGAGGACCAGGAACCACCCACGATCCCTGTCCATGCGTGTACATCATGTACATGTACACCTACAGACACACATTTATTCACATATGCCCATGTCCACACATACTCATACATGCACACATGTTCTATTACTGCCACAAGCACATACCCACACACATGTACATACAAACCTACATGCATGCACAGCTGCACATGTACATATGTACCCACTCATGTCTGTACACAATACACACATATAAACATGCCCACAGACAGACTCATACTTGCACATAGGTATACACGGATGCTCAAACACATACACACACACACATGCACACCCCAGGCCTCTAAATAAACTCACCTTGCCTCCTAAGCAAATATCAAAGGGAAGAAACCAGTTGGGACCAGAGTTATCAGCCCAAAGCCTATCAAAGCTGGGCTCTCCAAGAGAAGGAAGTCCATTGGTAGGCACTCTGGGCCCGGGCCGGTGGGGGGGCGAGTAGAGTTAGCAGGGGGCCTCTGGACTCGTGGTCTGTCTTTCTCTCCAGTTCTGCCTCTGAACCCCACTGTTCCTGCAGCCTGGCCTCACCTGGCCCCTGCCTCAGCCAATCTCGGGGCCTTCTCGGGTGGAGGTGGATCCTGACCCCAAATGCTATGGGGGTGAATACCCTACTGAGAAAGTCTTCTCCATTTCTCCTTTCTCTCTCTGACCCTAACCCACGGATGATCCTAACGTGCTGATGTTATTTTTTTTTCTTGGATTAAACCATTATTTACAGGGGGAGAGGGGGAAGAAAGGCTCTAGAGGGCCTAAAGGGGATAAGGGAGACCAAGGAGCGCCTGGATTAGATGCCCCCTGCCCGTTGGTATGTGTTTCCTTATTGCTTGCATTGTTTGGGTTTTCTCCTTGTGGTTTCCCAGTTGCAAACAAAGAAGGCAAATAAACTGAGACCCCAGTACCGCACTGAAGCTACCCACTGAAGCTACCCACTCGCCAGGCGGGCAAGTGAAATGCTGCCTGCTGCTGGGTCGCCCTCAAGCCACAGCTGCACACAATCCCAGGTCCCTGGACGCCGGGAACAGCTGCTGTGGAAGGGAAGAGGCCCGGAGGAAAGGGAATCTCCCAGAGGAGTCCCCGGCTGACTTGGAAGCCAGTGCGGCACTGGGGCTTCACGGGTTTGCCTTCCTCAGCGGGTGGCCACCTCTGCTGGAGCACCAGCAGTTGGAGCTGTGAATCCTTGCATGGTCAGGATGCAGGACACCAGGTTAGCATCTCCAGGGGCCACCGGTGCCCAAAGGTGACAGAACAAGGCCAGATGGGGGCTTTTACTAGACAGCCCTCCAGTACCCAGCAGCCACCACATGCCATCCTTAAAGTTTCGGTCAAACTCCCCCAGAAAACCTTCTCTGCCCCTTACTCCTCACCCCCAAAAAGGACAAACGGTGACCACCGGGTCAACTCAGGATGACCTCACGTGGGTCAGGATGGCCCTGTGTGTGCCAAAGGGTTTTCCATGACTGCTTGTTGGGACATAGGTCACCTGCCGCTCTCCCAAAGTGCCTCTGGGTAAACGGACCCCCAACCTTTCGGTTTGCAGTCAAATGCATTGTAACCATTTGTCCCACCCACCGGCTGTCAACACAGCAGTCACTGCTCTTTTGCTGTGCATCTTCTGAGCTTGTCGAATGCCTTTCTGATCCCTTTGAAGGCCCTGAGAATTACGGTGCGCTCAAGTTAAAAGCAATCTCTGTTTACGCTGGGTGAGCCTCTGCCTGGAGAGGGAGCTGTTTTAGAAGCTTCACCCTCCAGAGATCCAGGGAGAGCACAGAGGTGGGGCTTGGGAGATGGGCACCCACTGTTGGTAGAATCCTCAAGAGTCCTGCATCCTGGCCAGCAGAGAACTAGGCCTCCCTGCGCCATGGACAGGCGGAGCTGGCCAGCTTCGACGTCAGTAACACCGTTGGTTGGTTTTGTGAACAGGGACACCGAGGTTTTAAAGGAGAGAAAGGGGAGCCGGGGTTACCAGGTTTGGACGGACTGGATGCCCCGTGCCCATTGGTATGGCATTGCTCTCCCCACTTCCTGCATGGCCGATGTGGGTGTCCCTGCCTGTGTGGCTCAAGCCTGCATGCCTCTCCAGCCTCTGTCTGCCCCATTCCCCCTGCACCGCCCTCCTGTTTGCCCCGTGGACACCCAGGGCCATCCTGCCTTCACCGCCCCTCAGGAGGTCTCAGCCATCCTTCCCGCCTGTGGAGTTTCCCTGCTTGGGCCCTTGGCTTCCTTCTGTACCTGCTTCAAAAACACCCGCAGCATTGGCAACATGGGACCCACAATTCAGAACTGCTTCTAGATCAGGCTGCCACCAGAGAGCAAGCTGGGGAAGGGGATACCGCGGCACGTTCTTAGAGCTCCACTTCTCCCCTTCCCACAATGCAGCCTGGGCAGCGAGGGTCAGCCGAGCACCGGGCAGTTGCTGAGGAGTTGAGGGGACCCGGAGGTGCCTGGGTCAGCCCCTCATACCACCCCTTCCCACACTCACGGTTTAGAGGAGACAGAGAGGCACCCTCATGAGCAATGCTGGGGGAGGCCAGGAAGTTCCATGACTGAGGAAGAGCAGGGACCAACCACCCTGCCTCCCCAACACCCAGCCTCCCCACCACCCTGCCTCCCCACCATCCAGCCAGGGGTCAGGGGGCTGTCCAAGATCCGGTTTCTTGATCCTAAAAGGTCGATCCTCTCTGCGTTCATCCCAGAAGGCAGCCCAAGACCCACCCTTGGTTTCCCCTGCATTCAGCTGCAGGTGCCTGCGACAGAACTGTCCGGGGAGAATGACAGGTTAAGAATGGAGTCATGGGGAGGAGGGGAGGGCCCTCTTCCAAGCGTGTCTCGAGCCTAAGTGATGCCCATTTTATTCCCACCCGGCCCAACCCCGTCTCTGGACCGCTCTGGGCCTCCACACCCATCCTTCTGACTCATTAGAGGCAGACACCACAGGCCGGCTCAGGCTCAGCAAGGACATGTGCTCCCCTAATCCCTCCACGGGAGTGGAGTTTGTGGAGCTCTTGGCATACGTACCAGCAGTCGTCACAGTAGAATGCAGGCTTGCGTCCCTTCCCAGAGCACCTTACGGGGCACAAGGGGCTTCTTCCAAGCGGCATGTATGGCCAGAGGAGAGCACAGAGTAAGCATGAGAGCCCCATGCTTTACCACTGTCCCCACCGTCCAGCATACAGCATGAGCAGGCCCCACTCTGCTGTGCCAGAGCCCGCATCGTCCTCAGCCAGCTCTCCCCTTCACCACCCTTTCCTGCAGCAGCACCCCTGAGCTCCTTCCTGGGGCCCTGGCCTCCCTGCTCCTCCTCACTTACCCTCCCCTCCTCCTCTGCCTGCCCTGCCCGCCACTGCCCCTGCTCGCCCCTATGTCAGTCAGCAGCAATGCCGCGCCACCAGTGGGGCTCCGCTCCCTCCCAGAGTCCGTGTGAAGTGTGTGCACTGTGGGGCCGGGGACAGGGCCGGAAGGTCCTCCTGAAACTGCGGAATGCACCACCTCCCCTGCCGGGCCCACCCCGCCCAGAGGGGAAGGTCACCCTGGTTTGACCCTGAATGTAAAAATGTCAAGCTCTCCAATGACATCCCAGACTGTTGCGTCATTTGTCTGTAATTTCGCTGTGGCGTGTCCACCCTCCCACTCCGCCCCCCCACCCCTCTGTTTCTCCTTATCATTCCCCGAGTCTCCTGTGTTGGGTTAGTGTGTACGTGGGGGGATAGGGCGGCATTGACCATGACTTTGGGTTTAAGATAACTATGCTTCTTCCACCCTCCGTGATGGGGCCACTGCCTGGGAGGCAATGAGAGAGCAGGGGCCTGTCACCAAGGCGTTAGGGTGACAGCCCTTCAATCACCCTCGGAGCTGACTTGAAACCTGTATCCCTAGGAGACCTGTGTCCATCTGGGATTTCTCTCTCGCTCTAGAGCTTGGCCTCTAGACCCTACAGGCAGTTAGAGCCCAGTGGGCTGAATACCAAATCTCTGCCCTTGGTTTGGCATGACCCTTATCCTGCCCCTTGTTGCAAAACTGTCTAGCTCTACTCCCCTCTCCCAGAGCACCAGAGAGGCCAGGGCTAAGCGGCCCCAGGAGAGTCTCCATCAGCACTGTGGGTGCTTGCTTGGTGGGTGCCACCAACAAAGGGCACTAAGAGCACATAATGGACCCCATCCTGCTACTCCATTGGGCCCCCAGACTCCTGGCCGTGTCCAAGACTGGGCCAGCAGCCCTGTCTTCTTGCTGAAGGGCCCTCCGAGTTGCAAATCCCCTGAGGTTGCCCGCTCCCGCACACTCCCCTGACCCTGTATTGATCATAGGGTGTGCACTGTCCGGCTTTTGTCCTCTAAGAGAAAAACAAGGGTCTGGGGGGCCTGGGACTTAGCTTAAAACTCCTGTCCTTCCTGCAGCTTCCTACGCTGAAGCTCCCAGGTGCTGACTTGCCCACCAGCACCCCACACCAGAGGGTCTTCTAGGCACTTCTCAAGGACACCTGTGCCTGCTGAGCCCACCAGCTAGAAGAGCCCCCCTTGGCCTCACATAGTAGCTCCCGATGACCTTAGCCAATGGGAAGAGAGCTGCCGTGTTTCCCTCCTCTTTCCCAAGCCCCGAGGTAGAGAAAGAGCCAACACTGTGTAGACCTCAGTCCTTTCAGCTACCACGTGTATGGCCTGAATTAGCCCTGTCCTCCTGCGTGGTGGGCAGGCTTCTGAGAGTCTCAGTCCTTACCTGCCTTCCTCCCTGCAGGGTGAAGACGGCCTACCAGTCCAGGGCTGCTGGAACAAGGTAAGGCTCCGCGGGCAGGGGAGGAGGGTTGCATTGCCTTGGGGCAGAGATTCCCTCGGGCCTCCATGTTGCTAGCACGCAGAATGTCCACCCGGGGCCCTTCTGCTGATGAGGCCAGGCATTCTGAACAAAAGCTGTCGCAGACATTCCATGACTGTGGTAGGCCGGGCTGATGAGAGAAACAAGTCCAGAGACTCTCACATATACATAAGAACGAGCTTTATATCAAGGAGTAATTGTATATCAAGAAAACATCCCAGCCCTGTCCAGATCAAGTCCATCAGTCCGATACTAGTCCATCAGTCCCTCTTCAGACTCACACGGCCACGTGCAATGATGCAGAACGCAGGGAGATCACAGGCCGTGGGTGCAGAGTCCTGTGGATCCAATGGTGGCGGCCGCAGGACAGGGCTTGCAGGTCTCCGAATGGCCCAGCCGCATGAAGGGGAAGGCAGAGAGAGGGGGGCTGGCCTTCAGAGTTGCCATTTATCTTGGTTGCACCTCCAAAAGAGGTCATCCAATTGCGACCTGATTGACAGGCTAAACTCCACCCATCTCTTTTTATAGGTGCCATGTCGGCACCCAAAAACCTATCACAATGGCATTCCCTGCCCTGGTCACACAGAGAGAGAGAGAGAGAGAGAGAGAGAACAATCAAGAGGGCTTTTAAAGGCCACGGCAAACCCCACTGCATGGGGTTCCCAGGTCGCCACACAGACACCACTTCCGGGCTCTCCATGGCCTTCCTCCGAGTAGTTCCAAACTGTGTGAGAAAATGAAATTAGCAAGACTTTCATAGAATGAAAGCGTCAATGAGCCACTCTCAGTGTCCATATAAGATCATTTAAGCCGTATGATGGCAGTATCCAGACCTAGGAAATCCAAGATGCTTAAACTGTAAACGCACCTGGCCTCCAAGCCTCCCTGTGGAGAGCCCCCAGCTCAGCACTCTGTCCTTGCCCGTGAACGTAAGCTGTCAGAGCTGCATCTTTTCACACATGCAATGCACAGTACAACTTCTCTGGGCTCCCCAGAATTCTCACCAGCATTGACTTTCCATGTCTTCACACTCGCCCTGGCATTGGCCACCATGAAAGCAGTCTGAAGCCACAGGGCTGTCCCCTTGCACACAGCCACCCCATCCAGACACAGCCCCCAACCCTCATGACTCCCCAATAAAAGTACTAGCTGCTTTGATTCCCACGGGTAGCCACCCATCACCTGCAATTCAGAATGTTCACCAACCCTCCGCCCGTGTAGCCTCGGGGTGTTGGTTCATTCTTAGGAAAGGGCTGGACGCCCAACTCGTTCGAGGGTTCGTGCGCGGCCAATCCAGACCCATCCCAGTGGCAGCAGAGACAGACACACTAACAATGGGATGGATCAGCTACTTGCTAAGATGCTCGGAATCCCGTTAGTTCATGGGATTGTATGAAAGTAAGGAAATTGCCAACAGACCAGGCCCTCCCCCGTGCCTACCTCGTGCCTGGGCTCTGCTAGTGCCCCCAACCAGTGTAAGGACAAGCTTCATCACCAAGGGCGATGTCTCCCCTGAACCTGTCCTTCAAGCCTAGACTTCTCCCCTAGACCTCACTAAACTGGACAAAGAGGTCAGGGGTGTGTAAGACCCCCATCCCTGCCCCACTAAGAGAAAAGTATTCTACCTCAAGGAGTAACTGCTGATGGTTGAGACACAAGTGGTTGGGCTTGACTGGAAGAACAGCTACTGCCAAGAACTACAGTGTCTTGGCACCATTCAAGCCTCACAGGCCTGTCTGTTGACTGTAAATTCAGTCTGGAAGACGCCTAACTAAAGAGCCAAGGCTCCAAAGGCAGCATGGAAAAAACACGCCCTCTCGTGGCCACACAAAGGCATCCCTGGAAGCTGAACGCTTCCTTTCCCACCCTCAGGACGCTTGGGGTCTGGGCTGTTTCTTTGATGTGGGGAACCAAGAGTGGTTTCCCCTAGCCAGAGCTCCCGCCTGCCCACGCGCCATCCCAAGACCCCACAAGGGAACCCAACACCCACTGAAACTAACTGGATGATGTTTGATTTGCATTCTTGTTTTTGTTTGTTTGCAGTGATGCCGCTAACCTTGGATTGGCCTGTGTGTGTGTTTGTACATAGAATATTTATTTTTATACAGTTTTCACCTTTGAAAATGCCAGAAGTATGATGCATCTTAAAGATTATTAAAAAAAAACAAACCCCGCATATTTTGTACAGAAAAAAACCCACCTCTTCCCTTTTGTTTACAAGATGTTTTGTATAAGTCTGCATCTCTAATATACATTTTGTTTGTGACTACGGATATGATGTTTGCATGATATTTGTGCACACTTATTAAATATGGAAGCTTAATAAATTATTTTTGTTCTGGTGCCAAAGGGAGTCACCCAGCACCCAAGTGCCACTTAGCTTTTGTGTGGATTCACATACATGTGGACGATGGCATTGGTAAGGCTCGGCGTGTCAAAGAACATTTTAAACTCTCATGGAACTTTAGTATTAAGAAAATGAAATATAAAGTTATGATCCTGGTTAATCATTAAATGGAATACACTCTTTGGTAAGAGAGCAAGCCTCAGAGCCAGACAAGGGAAAATGTTCGGTCCAACAAGCTGAGAAGCTGTGTCTCTCGGGCCTACAAGGGGTCCCAGTGGGGTGACGGGTGACATGTTGGGCTACTAACCGCAAGGCCAGCAGTTTGAACCCAACAGCTACTCCATGGGGGAAGGATGAGGTTCTCTGCTCCCATAATAATGATTTGCAGCCCCGAGAAACCCTAGCCTGTGGGGTCACTATGGTTGGGATCAACTTGAAGGCAGTGGTTTTGTGGCTTCTTATGCCTGTTATCCCTGATGGCATAAAGAGTTCATGTGCTAGACTGCTAATCAAAAGGTGAGAGGTTCAACTCCACCCAGAAATAACCTCCAGAGAAAGGACTAGAGCTGTAGTTCCAGAAATGAGCCCTCCAAACTGCCACGGACACACCCAGAATCGCCAGGCATCGGCATGGATTAAGTGGCACCTGGTGTTGTGCCCATTGGAACGCATCCCACGTTCATGGAAGTCCAGTATGAAACAGAGATCACTCTTTTAACGTTTAAGGTGCTCACAGCTCTACCTAAGATGTGGGGGGTTATTTGATTGTTTACGCTCTTTATGGCGAATTGGGTGGATGTGTACAGAGCAAATCGGTTTTCCATTCAACAACTCATACACATTTTGTTTCATGATCTGATTGCAATCCCCACAATGTAGCATCCCATATCCCTCCTCTTATCTGTGTTTCCCATTTCCATCCCACCTTATTTCTTACTTCCTCTCACCTCCTGAGCTCTACCCTTGGGCAAATGCTGCCCTTTGGATCTGAAAACCATGCTTCCTAGTATCATGGTGCCCCTTATAATCCTGTCTCGTGTTTGGACGATACAAACAGAACCACAGGTGAGTTCCATGCTAGACCTGAGGGAGACTGAGAGCCACGCTCAGGGGTCCCATCCAGCCAGTAAGGCGGGTCTTTTTGACCACTGCCAGTCTCACTCCACATTTTCTCCCGCTCTACTAGAATCCCTTTGGAGAGTGGGCAGCAGTGAGAGCAGGGCACTGTCTCGTTCTTCTGGTATCGGGGTTGGGAAGGCTGAGGTTCTTGTGGACCAATTATTGCCACATGTCCTTGATTTTCTTCTCTCTCCTTTGCTCTGGACAGGGAGAGACCACTAGTTGCATCTTGGCCACTGACAAGTTTTTAAGACCCCCGTCACTACTCACAAATGTGTTACCCGGGATTTTTAAAGATCATCTGCTCTCGCTCTTGTTTTTTGCTTTGTTGTGGGTTTTTTTTTTAGTGCACTTTTTTTTTTCAGAGCAGCTTTAAGTTCACAGAGAAATTGGGCACAAATCACAGAGTGTTCCCATTTGGGGTGGGGACTTCAAAAAGTTCGTAGAAAATTTTCATTACCCTTTAATTCATTATATTTTATCATAGAAAAGATCATTTCATGATCTTTTAATTTTTCGTGACTGCTTTGAAGCCCTCCCAGCTCTTTGTTAATTTATTTCATGGGTGTGGTACATTTGCTACAATTGATGGTCCAATTAATTGTGTAATGAAATTCACTGAAATTCAGAAATTACATTGCGGTTCCCTCTGTCCATTTTACTAAATGCCTAATGTTACAGGTCCATTACTTTATCACACAGAGCAGTTTCATAGTCCTAAAGTGTCCTGTGTTCCACATATTTTGGAGGATTTTGGGGTTTTGTCCCTTTGAAGTTTTCATCCCCAAATCAGCTACTGCTGATCTGGTCATGCTGTGGACAGGGGCTTGTGGATCCAGTGAACACGGGCTGCAGAAGAGAACATTGACCCAGCTGTCGAACCATGCTAGCCAAATACATTCCGAACATGCTCCCAACACTGGGCCAGCGTGGCCCCAACCAAAGCGGTGTTTATTTTATATCAAGAAAGAGAGTTTTCTGGCTTTCCGTTCATCGTGCCTTGCTTAGTAAAGGTCTCTAAAGCATCAGCCTGGATGTCACAGGGCCGACTCTGACCCTGTGCAACCCCGTGGGCACGGGAGTGGAGCTGTGCTCCATGGAGCTGGCTGCTTTGGGAAAGCACACCACGAGGCCTTTCTTCTGAGACACCTCTGGGTGGCCTAGAGCCACCAACCTTCAGTTAGCTGCTGAGCCCTTCAGCAGGCTTAGCACCAATGGACACCCAACAGCCAGCGTTCTCCAGGCTGTAGCACGGTTGGCTCTGTTCCGACTACTCTGCCGGCAACCGCATCTGATGTAAGTCAGGCCTGACACTGAACATCGGCACTTAAACTTCGGAAAATGATTAAGACAGCAACGTCTGCACTGCGACGCTGGGTGGGCCGCGTTCTCCTGAGGATAAGATGGGGGGAACAGCTGGGCCTAAATGTGACTCACACTAATTCAAATAGATCATATGTTGGGCGCTACCTGTATTTTTTTTTACCATAAATTGGCATTCCTAAAGTGCTCGAGAAGAGCCAGTTATTTGAGGAGTTGAAGTGCCTCGCTCACCTTGGTCAGATTGTTCATTTCTTCCTATCTACCCTATCTACTGTGTTACTACTTGAGTAGTAACACAGACTCAAGTCTAACTGGCTCCCCTTCGTGAATTTGCTACAACCTGCTTATGTCCCTTCTTGATCCCTCCGATGCCACCTTCCTCACTCACTCTCACCACACAGGTGAGAAACAGATTGGGGAAACTGGTGACCCGATTCTTCAGACCAATTGCCCCTGTTCTGGTGAGAGCAAGAACTCATTGACGAGCCCCTATCAGAGTAAACCATGAATGGAGCGCCCTGGAAAATGGAAGTCCGTGTTAGCTGAATGCCCTGGGAGGCTTGGGGCAAACATAACCTCTTTTATTTTGTTTCCATCCTTGTGTTGACTTATTACACCCCAGTCATAACCACAAAGGAGTCCTGGAGTGGTGCGTGTAAATGGCTCACACAGTGGCTTGTGACTGGAGGCTGGAGCTTTGAGCTGCCCCAAGCAAAGCCTGAAGATGCAATTCCTGAACAGCTCTCAATTCCTTGAGAGCCCAGTGGAGCACAGTGCTGCTCTGGATCATGAGGTCGCCATGAGTCCACACCAACCCGACAACACTTAATACAACCAAGGGCTTGGAGTCCTCCTCAAGAATACATGGCTCTTTTACACTTGACGTAGACGTCTGAGTCAAGGAATGCAAGCATAGAGGAGAGAGTGGTACCAAGGGGACCCCGGATGGGCCAGCAAAAGGCCCTCCCCATCTCTGATGTTTAGCTGCACCTGGCTTCCCACTGGCCCACGGCCAAGTAAACAAAGGAGATGGAGGCTGTTTAAAAGGGCCACGCTGCCTCCCCCAGGGGGGCTGAGGTTCACTGAGGCTTGACCCTGCACCTGTAAATGTGTAGCTGGGGTCACATGGATCTCTGAGTCAGGATCTTCTCCCCTGTTACAGGCCTCCAAGCAGCCCACCCCAGAGGCCTCTAATTCAGGCCTTTGCCCTGGGCCTTTCCACTTGGACCTTAACCAAACAGGGCATCTAGAAACATGGCAAGAGTCGACCAAGACCTTCCTTTTGATCTGGACCAATCATCAAACAGCCACACTCACCTGTGCAGTCAAGAAGTTTGCAGAGAGACCAGGCCTCAAGCCCATAGAACAAGGTGAGGTAAAATTGCCTGGTGCTAGCAGGTGAGGGGCAGATACAATGTTGATGGGGCCAAGAAAGGCAGGGGCTGGTGGTCAGAGGGGGCTCCTGGTGAGCCAACTGCCTGGCATTTGCAGCACCTCCTGCTGAGCACCACTTGCCCAGGGAGCAAGAGCTGTCCCGCCCCAGCCTTCCTTCACAGGGCCAGCTGTGGCCATTCAGGTGAGGGTTCCTGGGTGGCTGGCACGTGCTGGGTCTGGGAACCAGTTACCTTCTAGAGTTCACTCCCCAGCCCCAGCACCTGTTGCTTGTTGCTCTGACACAGGAGCCAAGGTGCTGCCCTTCACCGTCTACCTGCAAACACCTGGCTTGACAATGAATTAGAGCTTATGCCCCTGGGGTGACAGCACAAGTTGATCCAGGTTGGGATCACAACTCTCATGGGTCCTCAACCTAAAACTGTGGGGCCTCACGGACCAAGGAAGTCACCCGTTGCTGAAGGAGGTCCTGCTGTCTCCCGCACATGCCCACTCTGCCCCCAGCTAGCCGTACCGAAGCTTCCTGGATCGAATCAAGGGCCACCACCCGGACTCCACCTGGCAGAACAGGAGAGTGGAGCACAAGGGGAAGAAAGCACTGGCCTACAGCTTGAGAGACTCAGCTTCTAGCCTTTTCTCGGCCAATCTCTGACCAAGGTGACATCGTAGGACATCGTAGGTACTCGCTGGCCTGCCATCAGCAAGTTTAGCAGTTGGAACCCCCCAGGCATTCCCTGGGAGAGAGACGGGCTTTCTACTCCTGTAAAAAGGGACGGTCCAGGAGCCCACAGCAGTAGTTCTTCCCTGCCCTCGGGGGTCACCATCGACTCCGCGGCAGTGACCTTGGGTGACTTACCCCAGGCTTCAGCTTCCCAAGTGTAAACTGAGGATGTTAGACTTGAATGACCTCCAGCGGCTCCTCCACCTCTGGCACCCTGAGACATTCTGCTTGCACTGATGGGTGGGACTTAGGAGACCTGTGGGTGCTGGACCATTCCAGACCCCCACCGTGTAGTTATTTGACTTTGATAATAGTCTGCATGGCGTTGGCATTGCATAACTGTGTGCGGCATGTGTGTGCTTCTTAACCCGGAATAACAGAACTCAGAGTGGACACGGCCACACAGGGATATGGTGAGAGGGGTCAGAAAAGGGGCTTGAGAGGTTGCTGCTCACATTGATGCATTGATGACAGAGTCCACAGTAGAGGTTTAGCTTCTTGTGCTCAGGAAGATCCCCGGTGGCCACAGATATTCAGGGACTCTGCTAGGGTAAGGTGTGTGCAGCTTGGCTTCATACCAAGCTCTCTCTGTGTCTCCCTACCTACCTCCCACATGCCCTGACCTTGACACTTTTTCGGGCACTGGGAAATGTCTGGTACCCAAGACTCTACAATGGTATAAAGAATAGGAGGGTGAACCAGAAAGCAAGGGGGGGGAGTTCCTCACCCCAGCCGGGGCCGGGGGAGCTCTCATTTATGACCCAAGGTCAGAGTCCCACATGCAAAGTGACCCTCTGCTTCCTAGAAAGCCTGGTCATTGAGAAGGGGCCATGTCCCTGTCTGAGGAAGACACGGGAGGAGGTAGGGGTGCAGGGGGAGGAGGAGGAGAAAGAGGAGGAAGAGGAGCAGGAGGTAGTGGATCTGAACCCGGGACAAAAGGCCTTAGTCATCTACCAAGACCTCCTACCAGACACCGCCCTCCTTTCCTCAGACTCCAACCAGCTGTGTCTACTCATTGATCCCCTTGATACCTCATCTGCTCTCCCCAATCCACACCCTTGGCCAGATGTGCCCTTCACCTGAAATCATACCTTTTCCCTTCCGTGAACATTTGGCACACCTTTTAGGCGTCCAGCTAAAAGCCATGAGCCTGGGAACACTTTTCTGAGTTTCAGTGGACTTGAGTGTCTTTCCTTGGGGTAACCCAGAATGCTGTTCTTTGTCTCCGTTCACATATGAGAGTCGTGGAAAGACCTTCCATATTAGACGAGGAACTATTAAGAGCAGATGCTTCCTCATCCATTCGACTCTCCACTGCTCCTTAGCCCCGATTAACTCTCAGTGCCTCCCTGATGGTCAGGGCTCATCAACATCTAAAAGCCGTCAGTCAGCTTTATGAGCATTACTGGACACAAAGACTGGGTCACCTGCCGGGGAGGGGAAAGGGGAAGGGGAGAAGGTAGACTGTCAGACATACCCCGTCGCCAGCAATGCCAGGGCAAGTGTGTCGAGCAACAAGTCAGAGGTCACAGCCGTCACTTGGAATTCTCAGGAGAGGGCACAAAGAGATTCCAGGAAAGGCAGGGAGGCCATGCAGACAGAAAGCACTCCCCCCCACCCTACCCCCGGCACAAGCTCCGTTCCCTGAACTAATCCAGCGAGCATCATCCTGGGCCATGTCCCCTCCTAAAGGGAGGACAAATAGGATGCGGTGGAAGAAAGAGTAAAGAGGGCAGGTCCAAACTCAGGGGCACTGAGAGGGTGACAAGTGGGTAGGTGGGTCTGTGGGATCCCCTGGGCCCCATGGAGGGGGTGGGTCCCGCGTGCACCAGCACAGGGAGGCTCCCTCCCACTCAAATATCCCTTCTCTGTCCTTCCTCAAGGGTCAGGGTCCTTGGTTAGTCGCCAAGAAGTGAAGCCAATCAGCCAAGCAAGAACCTTGGGACAGCACCAGGCTTTGGATGAGGGCGACCATGGAGCTGCCTCTGGACCAGGGCCGCTGGCAGGACCCTTCCTGGGGGCTTTGAGTGGGGGAGATCAGCATGTGAGCCCAGCAGTGGGCTCTCCTTTCCTGTCCTCCTCTCCAAGGCCTACAGCACAGCTACGTAGGTCAACCCCTTCCCAGAAGCCTCTCCGCCAGCTCTGGGGGAGGAGAGGTCTACTGCTTCTCTACAGCCAGCACCCTCAGCTGGCCTGCCATGTCGAGGGCTTCTCGAATTTACGGAGCATGATGGTTCTTCACACGACCTCGCTGCGGAAGGCAATGCGCACTGCCCTGCTTTCCTCTGGGAAAACCTCTCCAGGCAGGAGTGGTCGGTGTGGAGGCTCACCTGTCCCAGCTCCTTTGCAACAGATTTTCTGCAGTACCTTTGGGGCGGCCACCGTCGGCCTGTATATGCCTAGGTTCTCCCAAGGTCATGAGCTGGCTGGTGTGTCAAGCTGAAGAGAGGAAAGAAGAGAAGGCCCACAAGCAAGACTGGGCAGTATATTTGGTATATTTGGACCCCGGGCGCCACGATCCTCACGCGTCCAGCGGGTACCCTGGGATGTCCCAGTCAGTATGGGACTGGCGACAGATGAGAGAGAAGCAGTCATCTAGATATTTTCCGGAGGGCCTGAAATAAGCCCCCTTCCTTGAGCAGATGCGATGAAGGGATGGAGCTGGAAATCAGCACCCCCCTGCCTTGTTTGCCCTTTGAAATAAGACGCAAACCACCCTCTGTTCTCCTTCACGACCACGGAGCTACCTTACTGCTTTGAGGAAGAGTTGTTCAGTTAGGACAATTTGAAAAGGAAATAGGGCACTGAGAAAACAGGTGTATGTATACCTAGCACACAGGGATGTGGGGTCCAGACTAACCTTGACCCAGGACACCAGGTGACCCCAGCCCTCCCAGGTCAAGTTTCAGCGACAACTCCGCAAACACCTCCTGATATCTTGGAGCCGTGGCCATTCACTGATGGCCGACAGTGTCCCCTGAACTGAGGTGGACACTGCGTGACAAACAAAGGTAAATCCACCCACCTTCCAACCATGTACCTCAGGCAGGGAGATAACATCGGAACCCAAGAGAGAATGGCCTGAACAATTGGGGTGGGGCGGGGCAGCCAGAGGACCGCAGAAACAAAGGAGAGGGGACATCTCAAAGGGATTTCTCCCCAAGACTACCCTAGATGGAGAAGCTGATTCACCAGGGCATGCGTTCTGACGCTAAGCCCATCGTTAGCTCTGGAGGTTAAAAACATTCATGAACTATAACAAGCATCCAGCCAGTGTCTGATCCCCACTGCTGACAGAGAGGCACAATCCTGATCTTCACTCCACGGCTCCCTGACCCACCCTCCCCACCAGTGTCCATCCTACGGCAGGAAAGGCTCCCTCTGTACAGGAGAAGGAATAGGTCCGGGGCCACCGACAAAACTCGCCATCTGGGCATGTGTGTGACCACATGTGGCAAAAGTCATAGCTAACCTGGGTGACTTAGGACTCCGTGGGCACTGCTGGAGTTGTCACCGGATGCTCCGGCCAGCAACTTTCATGGCATGGGGTAAACAAAAGCATCCCTCCGGGAGATGGCATGGAAGGGGGTGAGTTGAGACTGTGAGTGACTCACAGGATCCTGGACATAGCGCTAGTCCTCTGGTCTTTTACCACCTGCCAACAAACCGCCCACACTGAACCCACAACAGGGCAGGAGACAGATGCATCCCTTTGAAGAAAGGAAGCCCTTTGGCCCCGGGCCTCACGATGAGAGATGCCCCCAAGGGCCATCTTCTTGCATTCCATTCATTCTGAAGACCCTGGGTTTCACGGCTGAGTTCACCTAACTAGCTGTGCCGGCCATTGTCCCAGCCTATGGGCAAGCGCTGCCGCCTGGAATGTGAGCCCTGCTGCTTGCCCGCCTGCCTCTGGCCAGCTACAGCGTCCCCATTGCCTCATGTGGAAAGACCTGCCCGCCACACAGGCACGGTAGGACTCGCTTCAAAGGTGAGCTACTATGGTCGTCAGGGTTAACCATTCAGGGGAAGAAGAAGAAAAATGATCCCACTTCTTATATACTCAAACCTCAACTAACCGGAATTGTGTGAGAAATGGTTCAAGGACAATTTCTGGTCAAATGAGGGTCGACCTACGCCTCCTTGGCGCCTCCATCCACAACCCCCTACAACCCTCCACTCCAGAGTCGGAAGTGATACACATTCTGGGGGGGAAATGAAAAGATGCAGACATAGAGTGGCCTGGGGTGGGACATGGAGGATGAATTGAGATTGGCCATGAGGAACTTGTTTTGAAAAATAAATTTCATGCAAATAACTTTTTCTTTTTCCTAAACACGCAGAGCCAACCATTTAAAAACTCCCATTGCCCATGTTCCTGATGCCCTGAGCGTTTCTCTTCTGCTGGCTCTGACCTAAGAGATTTCGCGGATGCTGGGCCCACCTCCCTGTCCTCAGGAGGCGCCCTGCTCCTGCCACTCCCGCCTACGCAGGCTTCTCACGGGGGCAAGTGGACGCCTCACATTTGAAATCATTCATTACCTCAAAGTCCCACGGCTTTGTGTTTCACATAAGCTTCAGTCCGATTAATTGAGGGCTTTGTGTTTTGTTTGTTTTTTTGTTTTGTTTTGTTTTAATTCAATCATAACCTAATTTTCAGAATTGCTTAGTGAAGGTCAGGGGTTTTCATCTCTAAGGATGACTCTTGAAGCCCCTTTTTTTTCTTTTCTCCACTAGGTAATTCATTATTATTATTATTATTATTATTATTATTATTATTTTGTCCTTTTAACCATTATTTTTTGTGAAACCCTGTCTACAACTGTGGGCAGTGGCTCTTGCGGAAGACGATTTAAATACATGTATAGTTTGCCAATGGGTTAAGCTTTTCTACTGGAGCTGTTCGGATGTTAAGGCAAGATGTCATCTTTTACTGATTGTGGTATTTTTCCTATGACTTGTAAAAGTCCTCCCCCTGAACTCTCCGGTGGGTTGAAAGCGCTTCCTGTGAAGGCAGTCGGGTGGTAGATTTCCTGGAGTGAGACTCCCCCTCTTCTCACACCAGGTCTCCCCAACCGAATGCCTGGCTAGCCAGGCCCGAGTCCCCCGGAGCTCGGATGGAGGCACTGATGCTTTCCGTCATGATGAGGATTTCTCCCGGGCCGGCCACTTGGCCCCTGGTCTCCAGAGGCCCATCTGCACCCCCAGGCAGAGCCCTCCGCCTGCATCTCCTCATTAACGTGGAACAGACTGGGGCGCCCTTGGCAGTCTCCTACCTTCTTGCTGCCTGTTGGTCTTTTCTCAGACTGCTTCCAAAACCCCTGCAGCCATTCCCTCAAGCCCATCGGCCCAGGCTGTTGGAGCCAGTTGCTGGCCATTGCCTCATCCAGCACTGCCCCCTTCCCACGGAGCCGGGTGGCATTTCGTTCTCTCCTCAACCCTCTTTCTCCCTTTCTCCTGTCCCTGTGCCTTCTCCTTTTGTTTCTGTGCCCATGCTCCCACCCTTTCTCCTCCAGGCCCAGCAGCTTCCACACATCCCCTGCCTACACCGCGGCATTATTCTCTCCCCTGGGGAGGAAAAAATTTAAATCGTGTCAACTTCTTTGACAGGTTGTTGCTGTTGTGACCCTTGTTTATCCCTAGCAAACGCTCCTGCTACCTTTCATTGAAATAGATGCTCTCATAGATGCATTGTTTATCATGCTATGTCCCCCATAAGAGGAAAAATATACACACTTTTATTTTCTAAGTCTGGCAAAGCAATGTTACTATGGCCTGCTGGTGAAGAAACGCTTACTAGTTCTCGTGATTTCTTTGTTTCATGCTCACGTACGCAAAATCTCTCGGACTTCCTCTTGATCCTAAGCTGCATGGGTCACAGCAAGGTCTTGGTGCTGCCCTGCGGAGACAAGGTCAGCAGGCCTGGGTTCTACTTGCCCATCTTTCAATAGGAAGAGTGAGACCACATGTAATGTTTGCTGATTCTAGAATTCAATGGCTTTGGTTGATTGCTGTGGCTCGGATGCACCTTTGCTTGTGCCTGTCAGAGCTTGGGTTGGGCTTTAACCAGACAGGCTCCTAGTCCTTCTAGAGGCTCTTAAACAAGTGCTCTGGCTCGGGGCTGAGTAGGTGCTGCACCGCCCCTTCCTAACCTGGAGAGAAGATTACAAACCAACACGGAGGGAAGGCACCTCATGCTGCGAAAGACCAGCAATAGACTTTAAGAAGTACTTTGGGAAGCAACTTGTTGTTCCCTTGGGTGCATAGTTTGCTGGAGTCTGGGATTAGGTCACTGATCCACTTCAGAGAAAAATGGGGCCAGCGATTAGTGACAGAACATCCATCGGGAAGCTACCTTCCTTCTTCAATACCAATTCTTTGGTTTGCAGCTTAACCAGAAATAGAAGGCCAAAGAACTGGCTTGTCTAGGAATTCCATGGCCAGTCTTTCCTAAGAATGTGTGGGAGTCTACAGAGGACCTGCTACCATGGCCATTAGGATGTGAGTCTGTGTGTGCTCGAGAGTGACCCACCGGATATAAGACTATAAATCTCTAAATGGTTCTGTGACTGTCATAAGGCCAGAAGAGTGTGTAATGACTGTGCTGAACAGAAGATTAAACCTGAGTTTTATGTGTCGATGGATGACGTTACCACAGGTTCATACAGGATGGAATGATGTCTCTGGGTATAGGGTTACACATGGACTTCATTAAAACACACGTCATACAAGCCCTAGCCCAGCAGGGGCAGAGAAGAGCAAAGCGGTGTTCTACTGTACTAATTGTCCAAGAAATGCCATGCTGTTAACTAAATCACAAACTCTGAGCATCTGACTGGTTCAATGTTGAGGCACAAGGCCCAGAACAAGCATTAGCTGAGTTATAAACCGAGATGTCCCCAATTGGAAGGACCCTGAAGGAAGTTTTCTTTCTCCGGTTGTTTTCTTTTCTGAAATAGAAACTGCTACTTAATGAGGTGACCCTTGCCAAGTTCTAAGGCACTCACATAGAGCTCTTCAAGTGCTTGTTGGGACTGAACTGGTGTTCAGGTCACCGCTCTCCGGCCGTCCACACCAGGCTGCTGAGTGTGGCAGGAAGAATCCTGGCAGACTTAGGACCTCACAGGCTTCCACTTGCAGCCTCAGACACAAGGTAGCACGAGAACATGATCTCTGGGAGCTTCCCAAGGTCCTGACCACAAACTTGGCCTTCTGGACTGAATCCCCACACCGCACCTCACGACAGTTCCCTCAGCCACCCATAACTCTTTGATGCTGTTATGCCAGACCCTGCCAAGCCAGGAGGAGCTTTTGTGGTGCACGCACTTTGCAATGGGCTGCTAACCTAAAGGTTGCCAGTTCAAACCCACCCAGTGGCTCCACAGAAGAAAAGGCTCAGTGGTCTGCTGCCAGCAAGATTACAGCCAAGAAAGCTCTCCGGAGCAGTTCCGCCGGGCGGCCCTGAGCAGCGGCTGACCACAGCAACACCACCGTTGAGCACGGGGTCATGGGATAATGATCGACAAATGGGCTGCCAAGAATTTTAATTGGTTTATAAATATGAGCGATTTCTTTTTTTTGGTAGTTGATTTTTTTTCATCGTTGTATTAGGGGCTCACACAACTCTTATCACAATCCACACACACATGAATTGTGTAAAGCGCATTTGTACATTCATTGCCCTCATCATTCTCAAAACATTTCCTCTCCACTTAAGCCCCCGGCATTAGGTCCTCATTTGTCCCCTCCCTCCCCGTTCCCCCCTCCCTCATGAGCCCTTGATAATTTACAAATTGTTATTTTGTCATATCTTGCCCTGTCTGATGTCTCCCTTCACCCACTTTTCTGTTGTCCGTCCCCCAGGGAGGAGGTCACATGTGGATCCTTGTCATCGGTTCACCCTTTCTAACCCACCCTCCCTCTGCCCTCCAAGTATCGCCACTCACACCACTGGTCCTGAAAGGATCA